TCGTTTCGATGAGGACAAATTTTTATGAATTATTAACTACAAAATAAATATCAAATTTTCACGATCTCGAGGAAATTATCAAAATGCTAACTTCACACGCTCATAAAAATTACCTATAGTAAATAATTATAAAAAAATTTGTTTTAAAAAAAAAACATCCACACATATTATTGTAAAATCAATACATTCATCTCTCCACTCAGAATCTAAAATATAGTTATACGGGTCTGAATGGTATTATTACTTTATATTTTTATAATATGTTAATTAAGAGAACGTCAATACGTCAAACCACCAACTTTGTAATGTAAGTACATCCCAACGGAGAATGGTGATAATTCATTCTGTAGTGATTTTAGAGACAGGAATAAATTTTAAAGTAAACAATATTTTAGATACAACCTCATATCTTTTTTTTTTAAATAGGACATGATAAAACAATTAGTGCAAAATAAATGATGTTGTATACATTAAATTCATCAAGAAATAATGTATGTATTCAAAAATGGATGAAGCAATTGAGACTATCATCAAAATATTGTTATAGTTTTATAATAGGTGTTTATGCTCTAAAACCACTCTAGATAGAGTAATTGTAATTTTCCATAAGTGTGTATGTTACATCGTATTTTTTAATTTATTTAACTGTTAGGTGCTGCTTCTAGAGAAACTAACGGTCAATTAGTTTTGAGTGTATAGATAAATATAATGTAATGTAAATAATGTAATCACCAGCTAATTAAACCATTTGGCTAATGCCTTAAATAATAAATAGGTAAATAAAATATATATACAAATAAAGGTACAATATATTGTATCCGCATAACAATAAAACAATAATAATAACAATTAAATATTATATTGCTTATCAAACACCTGTTTTTAAATTTTAATTACATGATAAAACAAATAAAAAGTATGCTATAACTGAAATATCTTTTAAAAAAAAAGTAATATACATCTACATAATAATATATTTTTAAATGACAATTTTTATAACGTAGGTTATTAGAACTATTATCCTTATTATTTATTTTAAGTTATTGGCCATTGGAATTTATTTTGAATTATAATTTACATACATTGTTGTGAACGGGTTTTTAGATTCTATAAGTTCCTTGAATTATAAATTATAAGATTTAGAGTAGATACTAGGTATAACATTATACAAATTACAAATACAATATCTTTTTATATTTATTTTAACAATGACATGTAAAATCAACAATAAATAGTTTTAGTTTCTTTTGTTAATTCAAAATAAAACTAATATATATATATGGAAAATGGATGTAAAAAAATTATTTTTGAGATTAAATTTTAATCAACCAAAGTATAAAAATGTGGCTTTAAAAATTATGATGGACTAATTTTTTTTGAATGTAAATTTAACAATTTAAAAGTATGTCACAATACTGTATGATATAATATAGGTACTCGTTCGTTGAAAACTGCAGAAAATAGTTTATGCAATAAAAATTATAATTTTTAATTATATTATAATATGTAATAAAATAATACATTTTGCATTGGATTTTAAGTCTTAAACAACAAAATTATGTAATATTAATATGTAAAACAAAATTTATACTATCTAAATGATAGGCGTAGGTTCATTTTTATTTAAATAAAAACAAACAATAAAGTCTGGCTTCAAATATTTTTGTATTATGTGTAACACATCATGTTCTAATATTTTTTGTTCGAGTAAACATTTTAAATGTTAACATAATATTATGTATAATCCTTAAAGTTTTTGTATTACGTTGGTCTAAATAAAAGATTTTTTTAAACAACCAAACTTGCGTAAAAAGTTGTTAAAAAATGATTGCCAAGTTTTAAAATAGTAATTTAGAACCTACAGAATTTATTCTTAATTCAGTTAAAGATATTAAGCTTTGTTCCGTTTATTTTAATGTTTTTTATTTTAAATTAATTACATTTTTTATAAATTAAAAACCATCAAAGTTTAGTAATAGACTCATTATATTATATATGTGTTTAGCTTACAAATCTAGGACGTAATCAGTAAAACTCGTGTTTGTATGTACCTTCTACTAAAAAATAATAATTTATTAGAATTATTATTTGTTTTTTGCAGTGCATAAATTGATTCGTTCGTGTTCGGTTTGCATTTTGTTATTTTAAGCCTTTAGATTTTATTTAAACTAAAATTAAATTGTTTCTCCATTCTATAGAGAGATAAAGCTCTATCAAGGGAAGTAATGTAATTACTCCACCATTCGCGAATGAATCATTCGGGGTAAATTCAAAAATATACATACCACTTTTAACCATGAAATGCATAATTGAAAATTTCGCGGGTAGTTTTTCATTTTTATCACTTAATGTGAACACCGTTTTCGTCGAATAACATGAAGCTTTGTATTTTTTGAAAATATAATGAACAGTGAAAGTTTCATTGTTTTGTGTTGAGTTTTGTTGCGGAAAATCTTAAATGGCCAAGGTCTGAAAATTTAAACGGGTCAAAGTTTTCGAGACGGGAAAACTTGTTTCGGGCGGTGCCCGCTCTCCGTCCCCCTCCTACACGCACTATCGTTTTAAGATCTGATTTCGGGACGTATGACGGGGAGAGGGGTGCAATATAATACCTAGAGCCCAAAACGTTTCCGGATTGCGTTCAAATCGAACGAACATCCGCTGCCAGCTGCATGTTTGTATGCAGAAACGAAAAACCTCGTGTGTGTGCGTGTGTGTGTGTGAAATAAGTTTATTTGGGTAATTGAATTGTACTTGTGTTTAGTGAAATGAAAACCAATGTGAAAACGATTTTCTGTTGGTAAACTTTCCGTTTTGCACAAGTGAGACCATTGACGCGTGAAAATTATTAAAACATCGGCAAATAATACCGCTAAGTCACCGCCTCTGCATTTAAATAAAAAATTAACTTTTGGTGAGATAAGAACATTATTTATTGCGTAAAATAATATTTACCAAGGTATCTGCATTAAATAAAACCAATATTGTAATGTACCAGTATCTCTTAACGTAACAAACGATCGGACGGTTAACAGTTAGAAATACATCTTATTTTTAAAGTACTGTCAGAATCATTGAATATTAAGTTGTTAAGTTCTTTTATTATATATTCGAGTTGCAAAATCTGGATAACTCGCTTCGTAGGTTTTAAGTGTCCATCGTCATTGGACATTGAGTAGACTATACCATAATGGATGTGTAAAATTTGAATTTAACGATAAATTATTGTAGGTACACGAAAAACGATTTTGAATAAAGGAAACAAACATTTTTTCTTCAACCATTTATTAAAAAAATGGCACAAACGTATTTTAAATATTTTTAATTTTTGTGCAAAACCTTGTGAGGAATCTTAATGCTAAAAAGGGAAAAGCAGTCAAACATAATCAGAAAAAAAACTCCATAAATATGATAGTTTCAAGTGGTATATAAATTGCTTATATTAGGTAGGTAGTCTAAATATTATGAAAATATCATTATGTATAAACGTTTATAATATAAGTAATGGTAGAAAGTTTCAAGTTTTCATGTCTTTATAAACAACTCATATTTTTGGCTTTCAACAAAATAACTAAAATTATTATTTTTATTTTAAATATCCCGTTTGTTTAAAAATTTGAATTTTAAACCCTCATCATAAATAAAAACTGAAAAACCTATGACATCATTCCAGTAAGTAAACCTATGAGGAATCTTGAATTTAATGTACAAACCTCGCGTGTTAATGAAAAATTGTATACATTTTAAATTAAAAAAAAAGTGGATACCTCTTTGCTGTACAGTATAGGGGTCGAGAGGTTTAGTACAATATTTAAATTAGCACTACCTGGTTTAAAAAATTCAAAAACATATTAATAAAATGAAATATTAATTAGTGAATTAATTATTATGTATAAAATGTAATTCTGAGTAGATTGTATATTTCTAAAAAAAAAAATTAAATTAAATAAACAAAATATTATTTGAAACTAATATAATTTCGTGTAAAATATGTAAGAGAAAATGAAAATTGAATGAATGTGTTAGTAAGACTAAAAAAAGACAGTTAATTTTTCGTCTATTATACGTTTACCTATCCTTATTCCTTAAGTATTTCACGGAGTCGTCCTTACTGTTCCGTTATATTTCTTGGTAATTGTTTTCTTGTAAGATTTGAATTGTGTATTTTTTCGTGTTCAATATTTTAAACATCGCATACCTACTTAAAATAATACTTACTTAAATTTCATTCGATCCTTTATCTACAAAATGAATGAGCATTAACGGACTTTATTGATAATTTCTGAATCAGTAACAGGCATGACTTTTAATCTGATCACTTATGTAAGTAAACTGTGAAGTTTAAGTGCTTTGAACTAGCTACTATTACGAGGGGGTAAAACAACGGGCGAGAACAGTCTATAACTCGGATTACTGATACAAAACGGATTCTGTTAATGGAATATAGAGAAGACAATGCAGCGGAATTTTCCTAGAAAATTACATACAATACCATAGTGGCTTGATATACAAATAATACGATGGCAGTAAGTAATTAAAAACTATACACTTGACATTTTAAATTAATGATGCATCATTATGAAT